GAAAGTTATATTTTTGTGAATCACTTATCTAGACCATTCATCTGAGAAAGTTTGAGGAATTTGGTTTTTTTTGGTCCAAATGGCCATAGTTGAAATTTACAGAGGGCCCCTCTTAAGTACAGTTTAAGAAACAAACTTGATATCAGTGAAATCATCGATATCTTCACTAGTGAGAATATGGAAAATACTCCACCCGAGTCCCGGATGTGGTTTCGTATGAATTTTACGAGTGGTGTATTTTCCAGTAAAACACCTTGTCTATCTAATAAAGTTGTTTATAAGTTTTTTTTAGTATTTCGAGAATCCTCGTTCTTGCTAAAAAGAAACTTCTCGGGCGCTTAACTCCGTTCGTCAAAATTGGTACAATACAGTTTTTGCTAGGGCACTTTGAAATAAATTAACCATTAGTCGCGAAAGCCCGCCCCCCGCTCCCCTTCATTGAGATCCTCTTACATCAACCTTGAAACGTTTTGAGATGCCTTAGTACCATTCAGCTTAGCGCAACTTTGGAGTGACTTTATATAACTTACTGATTTATTTTATTCTTTTCTCAAAGACTATGAAGCGTTTTGTTTTCTTCATAATAACTTGGGCGTTGGTGGCGGCAGTGCCTCGCGATAATCCAGCTCAGGTAAGCGTATGCCCTTCGTTTCTCAGTACTTTCTTAGGTTTCTAAAGGACAAATTATTAACTTTTTATCAAATTGCTGCGTGAAATCGTTTTAAGTGCTAGATGACGTTAAAATTAATTTCTTTTACAGGACGAAAACCAAGAAAAAGACCCTGGTAAGTAAATTTACCGTTCTTTCATTTTTTTTTTTTTCTTTTAATTCTTGTTAATTGCTGCAATATTGTTGCCAAAATTTATAAGCCAGATAAGTTTCAGGCCTGGATAGGAAGCATATTGACCAAATTATAAGCCCTGAATTCACTCCTACCAATGTAACGGAAATCTTCAAAACTACTCTATCAAAATAATAGGAATTCTATGGAGAAAGTGAGAATTATCCACGTATTATTTTTATTTCACTTTTTTGTTCTCTGGAGTAGTTACTTGTTTGTTTTTTCATACCCAAAGAGGTTTTCGATAATTCAAAGGATTTTCTAGAATTGAATTTTCAGGGTCTTGATGAAAGTGAATAGATTATATAGAATTAAAAATAGTAAACAGCGAGTAGTCTTTCATGTTTTTCAGAGATACTAGAGCGCACAGGGAGGTCGCCTCCAGGGTAGGGTTGTCATTAGTTACAGCGATAATGAGAAGAGATGGGCGGGGAGGGCGTTTCTCGCCCTTCCCCTCTTGTTAAGTGGCCTGCAGTGCAGGCGTATTTTTGGCGTGCGAGTGCAGAGTTTCATATTAGGCCGCCATCTTCGATTTGGTAACTGTGGAGGACTGAGGAGGAGGAAATTTTGCCGAGGGAGTAGGTGTGAGGTGAAAAAATGTGCGAGGGGGAAAGGGGATGGGGAGGGGAAGGAAAAATGTGCCTGGCCGCAGGCTTTGTACGTTTGCAGAACCCGTACAGCAGATGGACGGGGGCTCTGATCGGGGCAGTAGGTTCCTAAATGATTGATACCTGCCAATGCAAGGTAGTCAGTAGTAAGTAGTGGAAACAGTAAGGCACATCATCCATGGGTACATGCAGTCCTATTTTTTTTCCCTTTTTTTTCGGCCATTCCGCGCTCGGGAGAACTTGTAATTTGGAGAGAAAGTGGCGGTTCGGCTAAGCGTTGATGCTGCACTCGAAGAAGCGCTTTTATTTCTTTCTCAGCAAGGTATGTCACCTTAATTACGCTCCGCTCAAAAGGAAGCTGATACTTTCAGTACATGGAATTGATTTATTAGCAGTTCGTCCGGTTAAAGTCTCATCTTTTGGCTGTGGATTCGTGTGAAACAAATATTATCTACGAAGGGCTCGCTTTCTTCCCAGTAGCTAGCGCGCGTTTCGTATTTTAGAGACACAGCTTAACGTTGGAATCGTTCACGCTTTAACAAACTTGAACAACTGGCCAAGAATGTAAAATTTCGACCACAAAGGTTGCAAACGCGATCCGAGTATGTTTCAGGATCGTGCAAATACACCAATCCGACAGGACTTCAAACCTTGGCTAACACAACTCCAATGGTGCCGTCCTTCCTCTGCGAGGGTTTAACAAAAATTCCGACGATGAGTACACTAGTTTGCATGGAATGGTCCCAAATTTCCCTTAAAGAGCTTTCGCAATTCCTACAGCTGTCCTTAGGACGTTTTTCCAACACAATTTCACTCGCATGCTCACTCACTCGATTTCTGTTTTTTAGACTTGACTCTGTCAATGTATTGATCGGAAGTAGATTTTTGGCTTCCAGTACGAAGGAAATAGATTTTCATTGGCTGCTTGCACATTTCCAGAGAGGCGGTCAAGCGCTACTAATAAGGGGGTGTTCAATGACTTCATAGGCTTTGCGGACAGGCGGTCTGTGATCTATTAAACAATTAAATCAGGAGCTCGAGATTTCTATCTACCGAGTCAACTATCACGCATAGAAATCGAGAGCGAATAATCTGATTGTTTTAGTATGAATCTACTAGTCGTTCAAAACTTTATCTAAATCCTCTTCACAGACACTTCGAAAACGCCAAGAAGCGGCCTTCATTTTGTTAAGAAGGGCACACTGCTACGCTACTCACTATCTATCACAGAATAGATAGTGAGTAGCGTAGCCAATCAGAGAACGGCATTCGTGATAGACCGCTAGTAAACTTATACTAATACTGAACAGACGACCGGCAGCAGGGAATCTATTTGTTAATTAGCTTTTACCTTTTTATACTAAGGCCAGCTGTACATAGTATCGGCTACGTTGTTCAAATTTTAGCGTCTCCGCTATTTACATTTATTACATCTATAACATTGTAGTTACTTTTATTACATTTATCACATTGTATTCACATTTCTTACATTTTATTTGTGCGTAGTTTAATGACTAAGGCCCGGGTCGCACTAGAGCCAATTTTGTTTGTATAAGTAATAAATCTGTCAACGAGTAACGTAAAATAAGCGAGACCCCCACTTTCAAAAACTTGCCAAATTTTTGCGGATTGCCAAAATTTCGCCAATCTTCAAAGAAGCCGAAGTGCTGCCTCGGAGGCTTCCAAGTTTTGGCAAAGCAAACAATTTTGTTATTTTAACCATTTGACTGTCATATTTTTTAAAACATGCCTGGATAAAATTACGGCAAGAAAATAACTTTGACTGTTAGGCCAGTTTGGCGCGTGCGATGGCGAGACAAAATCCTTTTTTTACCCGGTCCATCTGACGCTTTTTACAGTTATTTCAATGCAAACGAGGAATATGAGCAGCGTTTTTATTCAGATTCTTATGACTCGTACCCTGGATCTGGTTACTGGAAGCAATTTGAAGAGATGGCTTCAGCAAGACAATCTTCTTCGATCGCAAGTGGCGCAAGCAACAACAGAAACGCAAGCTGAGCAAAACTGCCCGTCCAATTATGGGCCGGAATTCACGATTTGCTGTGTAGCGGAGAGTCAAGAACATACAGCGTGGATAAAAGTCTGCGAAGAGTTAAACTCTCGCATGATTACTAATTGAGAAATACAAATCTCGTTACGTATATTTCAATCAGTAACGTTTTGGTTCCAGTATGTTGGCCTAATGCGACCACTGCCAAAATTTGGAACTTGCGAAATTTTTGCCAATTTTTTTCCTCGCCAAAACTTGGAAATATTTTAAGCAAACACAATTGGCTCTAGTGCGACCCGGGCCTAAATCAAATCATGATCATCCTGTTAATCAAAATTGATTTTTTTCCTCCCCGGCTTAGACATACCCAAAGACGATTTTGAGAATTCAAGGCATTTTGCCAAAAAGAGTTTCCAGTTTCTTGAGGAAAGTGAGTATATTATGAAGCAATAGATTTAGTACAAAACGAATGTTCTATTATCTTTCTCAGAGCGATGACTTGTAAAATAGCTATAGAGCCCAAAGAAGGAAAAGATCTGAACAGACCTGTTTACCATGGGCTCTTCCTGCCATTCCGGAAAACTTCTACCGCTGTAGGTTTTGCCACGTTTTCGTCAACTCTCCCCAACTTACTGAGATTCTCGACTGAGATTTATCGACTTTTTTTTAGTAAGATGGTACCTGGAACTTTCAAAACATGGAAAAATTAACGTCTTCCTTGTATCTTGTTTTTAATATATCTATAATAAAAGGTTAGCAACGTTTCATAAAGGCAGCAGCAGATTGTAAATTCACTTAGAAAAATTCTTTCCATCTTCTGAGAAGTTCGATGGGTGCCCGTTAGCTTCGACAATTTTGCTATTTGGTATTTTATCATCTTTCGCTGGATATTTGTTTTGATCAATACACCTACCATAATCCCCTGTAGGCGCGTCTCATAGTGGGGATTGGGAACTCCATTCCTAGAATAACAAAACTCATTTTTGTCAATTTCATATTTTTCTCTTTAGACGTGCTGCAAGAAACTCTCAATTGTGAATACGGCAAACCAAGTTGTGAATGCGATGCAAACGCAACAGTTTGTAGATTTAACCTTGAAATTGACGAAATTCGAACCTTCACCAGCTACCAAAAGTTATCGGTGGATGAACCTACGGGAGTTGCTATGCGAGGAACCCAAGGAGTGATCTATTATTTCGATGCTGAAGATGGGACACCTAGGCCTTTGCCACAACACGCTGATAGGGCATGTGCAGATCTGACCAACATTAACTGCACCTATCCCCAATTTGTAGATGGTAAAACGTATCGTTTGGCGATAGCTGTCAATGGACAGATTCCTGGACCTACCTTGATAGTTCACGAAGGGCAAAATGTTGTAATTCATGTTCACAACAATCTTACCTCCGAGGGTATTTCAATTCACTGGCACGGGATGCACCAGAGAGGAACACCTTGGATGGATGGTGTAGGACAAGTGACGCAATGTCCGATAGGGCCTCAATCGAGCTTTTCATACAGGTATGTTGCCAGTCCTTCTGGGACGTTTTGGTATCATTCTCACAGCGGTGCGCAGCGAACAGATGGCTTCTATGGTGCTCTTATAGTTAAAGAAACACCTAAAAGAATGGAACAAGTCCAAACTGAACTCCAACCGCATGGTGTCGATGCTACATTTCAAGACCTTCCAGCTGAACACACTTTAACGCTTCTAGACTGGCAACAAGAGGCATCCTTGGACCTGTTCACACAGATCCAAGGTGCAGTGGGTTTCTATCCAGGCAAAGAGCATGGCGAGGTGCCTACACCCGAAGATGTTATCTATACTCGCACTGACAGTTCTGAAGGAGCAGCGGTTGGGCCTATACCGTACTTTTCTGGAATTATAAATGGGAAAGGCAGGCATACTGATGTACCATATAAACAAACAAGACTGAGTATATTTACTGTCGAGGCCGGAAATACATATCGCTTTCGGCTGGTCGGAGCCCAAGGACTCTATGCTTACAGATTCTCCATTGATGGCCATAAACTGACTGTTGTGGGTACTGACGGCTATTGGCTTGAGCCTGTAAAAGACGTCGATTACATCATCATCCATACAGGAGAGAGGTATGACTTTTTACTTCATGCAACCAATACAGATGGGTTGAATAACTACTGGATGCGTGCAGAGACTTTGGAGGTTGATACAAGTAGGTCCGAGCCACCCTACCAGTCACTAGGACATGTGGCAGAGGCTATTTTGCACTACAAGCAACCTGGGCACTCGAATGATCTGGATGTTGATGTGCCATCAACACAATATCAAGACATCAAAGACAAGTCTCCTCCCGTACAGTGCACACACGACGCCCCATGCAAAGCAGTGAACTGCCCGTTTCAGGAATTTCATCCATCATATAACATCAAATGTGTTAATGTCCAAGACCTATGTTTACTTGAGCCAACTCCACCTGATGAGCTTCCAGATGCAATCCCTAAAGACCCTGTTGAGTGCCCAGATTGCACACATTTCATCAACTTTAGTTTTGAGGGCGACTCTCAAACTAGTTCAGTTAATGGGCGCAACTTCATATTCCCCTCCTTTCCTCCCCAAACCCAAAATGAAGAGTTTGAAAACTATGACATAAAGTGTAGCCTTACGGCTGACTGTAATCCATTTACAACCGCGTGCACATGTGTCCATGTCATAGATATTCCCCAAAACGAAACTGTGCAAATGGTGTTTTCAGCAATTGGTGTCAGAGACAACGCCCATCCAATTCATCTTCATGGCCACACATTTCATGTTGTTGGTGTTGGATATCCAGAGTATAACGACACAACTGGTTTTATTACAAACCACAACAGTGATATCTACTGCGATGATATCAACTGTACTAAGGAGGGATGCGACCCAAATAGATGTACCAGACCAAGCTGGAAAGAAACATTTGAACCAGATTTTTCCATTCATGACAAAACGGTCAGAAAGGACACGGTTATGGTTCCTGCTGGGGGGTATGTGGTCATCAATTTCATATCTGATAATCCTGGTTGGTGGTTTCTACACTGTCACATTGAAATACATCAGCTCCAAGGAATGGCAATGATTGTCAATGAGATTTCTAATGAGCCGCCCCCAGTACCCGAAAACATGAACAAGTGTGGAGACTTCGAGATAAGTGACAACGGTTTTCACTCGTACATCTCCAGGGTAAACTATTAACTAAAAAAAGGAAGGTCCTAACAGTTTTAGAAGCTATTGAAATCCAACAGAACTAGTTATTAGAAAACATTCCGTGAGAAAGTTGTACTGTACTTCTATTTAACTATTGGATTATGGGTTGGAGATTTCTATAAGGTAATAGCGGATGAAACCAAAGGCCGGTGATCAGGAGGAAGGAATGGAGGAAAGGGGAAATGGCAAAAACCCGTACGTCTGTCATTCTTCAAAATTTATCGAACCCTCTTTATGGAGAAATATTTCTTTACTTCCACCTTCTCCCCGACACACCCATTATTTGCCACTCACTGTAGCACCCCTCATTCGACCTTTCCTTGCATCCTGATTACCTTCCTACTTAGCTTTTCAAAACAACGGTTTCACCCATGCACTTATAATCCACATTTAATCTAAAGGATGAAGATTTTACAGCGGTTCATCAATCTTATTAGAGCATGGAAATGTCAATCAGATAGAACCATAGCCTTGAACATAGAGTGGCATTGGCGTATGGCATTTTAATTTAGTTCAGTTTTCTTAAAATCTGCAATGACATCATGACATCCGGCACTTAGTATTTAGTATCCAGTATTTCAGAATAGTTATTATAATTTGTTACTTTTGAATTTAGCTCTATTCATCTTCAACCTCAAATAGCTTACATAAAATACACGCGCTGATTGGATTATGAGTTCGAGATTTCTATCACGCATAGAAATCGAGAGCGAATAATGTAATTGTTTTAGTATAAATCTACTAGTCGTTCAAAACTTGATCTAAATCATATTCACAGACAACTCGAAAACGCAAAGAAGCGGCTCTCACTTTATTCACAAGCGCACATTGCTACGCAACTCACTATCTACAACAGAATAGATAGTGAGTAGCGTAGCCAATCAGCGAACGGCATTCGTGATAGAACGCTAGTACATTTATACTAAAACTCGATAGAAACACGGAGAACATGTTTTCTATTCCTTTTAGAAAATTTGCAACGAAAAATGAAAACAACTTTTTTTATTCGGATCATCAAAAGGTAAATTGTCCTTTCTCGCGCCATCATTACTTCAAAAGCTCGTACTTGTTCCGTGTCTCTATCGAATTCTATCAAGAATGCGGTTCTCTGATAGGCCAAGTTACTCACTATCTATTCTGTTCTAGGTAGTAGCCTAGCGAGGTGCAATTTTCGAAGTGTCTTTGAAGAGGATTTAGATCAAGTTTTGATCGACTACTAGATTTATTAAATTAAATTATTCGCTCTCGATTCCTATGCGATATCAATCTCGAGCTCTGAGATCATAATCTAATTGTTTAATAGAAACAATCGTGGATGTTTATAACAGAACTCGATAAGCCAGGGAGACAATCGCTCTTCAAGACCTCCACTCGTGTTTTTATAACTCGTTAGAAACATTGAACATGTTTTTTATTTCTCAAATATCAGTACTTTGACAGAGTTCTCTTGATTACATGCAAGCGTGTGATTCTACAGGTAGAGGTACTCAAACCATTTAGAGCGCGGTTTTCAATTGAGTATCGTAAAACCAACTTGCCAAAGTAATCTTTCTGGACAAACACAAATTACTAAGTCAGTCCAATGAACCAATCAAACTTAGCTCGAAGCAAATTCATGTAGCCCACTTCAAGCTCGGAAAAACCTGTGCAAGCTAGTCACAATTCGTTTCGGTTTTACTTCTGACTAGATGACAAAGAGACACGGGGTGTTTGGCCGCGATCGCTTAACGTAGTAATGCAACACCAAAACAAATGAGAAAAACCACTCTATCAGGTAAAACCACAATCCTAGACACGTTAACAAAGTAGCACATTTCTATTCGATTACGGGATTTTACTCGAATCTGGGATCCAAAGAAATGGGAAATTATTATCCACTTCTCTGAAAATATTGGGCAGAGATTAACAACATTTTGTCCTTCAATAAATTCAAAATTGTTGCTGTGGGAAAATATTGGGACATCTTTAAACTTCGTTCCACTTTTCCCGAATTTATTTGTGATTGGGACATGATTTTCGGACACTGGGAAATTATTAGGAACACAATTTGGGAAAATTGTGAAATTTACGAAGGAAATGGGACATAGCTTTCTTACTTTGGAAAATGTTTGGGCGAAAAATTGGGAATTTGTGTCCTGCAAAAGGTCAGTTACCGTTTTTGGAAAAATATTGGAAATTTTAAAACTACAGTTCAAACCCTATTAAACGGCTTCCTTCGGGAAAATAGATAGTGGCCGCTTAAAGGGGGTTGGACGCTTAATAGAGTTAGAAACGATTGAAAAGCCGTCATCGGGACTTTGATTATTGGCGGCCTAATAGGGGTGGCCTTTTAATAAGTGGACGCTTATAATTAATAGGGGTTCGACAGTAATCCCACTTTTTCTCAAATTTATCTGTATGGGACATTGTTTCCAGGCATTGCGAAAATTATTGAGCCCACATTTGAGTAATTTATCGGATGTTTTCCCAAATCTTGGAAAGGGATGGGGCATTTTTCCCTACCATGTAGAACTGAGGATAAAATTGGGAAATCCATCTAGGACAAGACAATAATCGCTAGTTTGGGAACAGTGTCATAGTAGCGGAGCCCCATACCTTAGAAAATTTGGTAACCTATCGATCTAAAATATTTTAGTTGTCACGTGATTGTCCGTACGTACGTACGCCAATAGCTTGAAAAATAAGAGAGTAGTACCTATACCAGAGCTACATCTTTGATTTGGGGCATCCATGTAATGGTTAATTGACAGCTGTTAAAACAAGCTATCCGCTGACCATATCGAGGGCTCAGGTTTAGAATCTTCTTTATGGTTAGTTATCGCAATCAGGGGCTCCGCATTTAGGCTTGGCTAACTCTATATATTAAACTAAACTACTGGACTGTGAAACACAGAAACATTTCTGTTCCATATCCTCCACCAAATGATACAGGCCAGTATAGAAGACATAATAACCAGCACATTTATTGGATATGAGGGTATCATTGTATTTTTTATTAGAGTTGAATTTAGATCTACAAATACAGGTGGGAAAAAAGACGTGTGTACGTGGTTATATGCAATATTTGTTAGACTCATTAATAATTTATCAAGTTTAAACAAAGGAAACTATGACCGTAACGGTGTTTAAATATATGATCTTAATTACATGTAGCATAGATGTTTTGTGATATTTTTTCTCCTTTTTCTCCTTAGTTTTAGTTTCAGTTGAGAAGATATATCGAACACGGAAGACAATGTTTTTGAGAATGAGATTTTATGACGGTTTGAATTTTTAAAAGATTAGGAAGATTTGATGGAAAATGTTGCTCTCTAGCAAAAACTTACTCATTAACGTCAGGGGCCTCAAACTTGACTCTTTCGGTATTTTTGATGTGCTCTTTCAATTTCTGGTATTCTTTAAAAGTTATAGTCCCTAAAATAATTTTTTTTTGGCAAAAAAAACTTGTCACGTGACACCTGCTACAATGGGCCAATTGCAAACTAGACGATTCCCACTAAAGCACTATTGACTAGTAAATAACCTTACACCATCAATAAAGATTCGATATCCTGACTTCATTCCATTAATTCCAGAGCTTACTATACTCAATGATTCGTTCTTCACTGTGTCTAAAAACAATCACACAAAGTCGACAAAACATACTAATTTTCACGAGGTATTTTTAACTCCAAGAATGTTTGCTCACCCCCCTCTTCTCCCCCCCCCCNGCCAAAGAAAAATGTTTTTTTTTTTTTTGCAGTAGCTTTAACTGACACGACGTGGTAAAAAGTTGATCTAATTGATTTTCATAAGATACTTCTTAATTTGTTTGCAGCATAGAGAAAACAAAATAAGCGCACAAAAAAAGCGAACGGAAGAAATGGCACAAAAGTAACTGTACCACGCCCCGGCCGGGATAATCTGTGATTTTCCCGTGGTGCTTCGTTGTCTTTATATTATCTCGGTTTTGACCCTTTGTATGAAACAGCCGCTTCGTATACTTGAGTTCCTTCGAGACATCAAATTTCTTCTATCTTCAAACAAAAAATTACAAATGATGCTGTGTTAATCCTCCACAAATCAAAATCTTGACTAATTAAATATTGGCAAAATACCACCACTGTGGTGCTTCTTGTCTTAAAAATACGCCACAGTGGAATTCTCGCCTACATCATAACTATTTCAATTGCGTATTTACAAACATTGAAAAGTAGGGGTATTTGGAAACAACCATGTTTTCAGTCACGTGGTTTTTGTCAACTTTTTGTCAAGACGTTTTAAGTTTCACTTTGCGAAACAAAAAACCTTAGAAATTAGGTAAAATGGTCACAAATAAACATTTTCTTGACAGAGCAGACTATTACTTTTCTTAATAACAATAAAACAAGAAACTATCATGTACAGAAAACGTATAATGATATAAAATCTGAACTGCACTTATTCATCTATCCCAAACATGTTATTGATCTTTTTTTCTCAGTTCGCGAGAGCTGGAGTGATTCAACAAACCCTGCAATTTGATTGGTTCCGGGAGCGGGCAGAATCGTCGTGTTGATCTATTTTTGTGAACGAAGTAGCCGTAATCGTCAATCTCTTGTCTTTTATACACTTTCATCGACAATTTAACGCAGGGAAATGCTTTTTCAAGGCCTCGGTCACAGTTTTTCACTAAACGTACCTTCCAGCCGGCAAATAACATATATGCTTTCAAATCATTCCTTCAATTGAAAGCGTGGAACACACTGTGATAATCTTTTAGTGCTGCTAATTAAAATGGCCATCAACTGCACAAAAAAGGTTTCATAAAGCTCATAATACTAACAATTAGAGGGTTTAAAATCAGAAATAGCAACCGCACAAACTTTGGCCTATGAAGTTCTTAGTAGATTACTCAACCAAACAACCGAAAACAGCTTTTACGAGTAGCGTTTAATTTATTTTCCTTACGGTTAACAGAAATGAGAAATCGATTACTTTTATTTTCAAAAGTTAAAAATTAACTTTTATTATTTAAAAAGTTTAAAAAATTTTTGACTTGCTATAAAACATATTTGAGGTCTCAGGACCATTCCGGGACGGAATTTTAAGAATTGTAGACTAATAAAACTTTCAAGCCACAAGACAAGACGCAAATTAAACGTCCTGAGAAGGATCTTGAGACTTTCATGGGTAAAATTATGTTATGGCTAATATTACTAACAAGTAACGGTTAAAATTTTTTAATTTTTTACGCCTAACGGCTACCAACCTCGTTCCCAGGTTCCCAGGGTCTCTCATCTTCCCGCCCTCCTCAACACCACAAATTTTCGGATTAGGGAGGACCCTCCCTGATCTTCTCAATTGTCAAAGAAGCACTTGCAGCGTACAACTACAATCCTACCTGGCGACACTTGACGAACTACTGGTGAGTTACAATGCCGGACGCCGGCGACCCATTTTTTGGCGCCAAATTAGAAGCTTAGAGACACAAAATGCTTCATATTTTTCACTTTTTACAATCTGATATGGTTTGGGGAATAGTAAATCCCTTTTCGTGATTATTAAATACCATCTCCAGTGAGAAAAAAATGCTTGCATTGCATTGACGTCAGGAGAGTAAAGAAAAACCCTTTTCACAGTGAGTTTTTCTCATTTGCATTACAATGTAATCTAACGTGGATGAGAGGCAATTTCGGGCTATTTTGTAGTTTTAACCAAAATTGCCTCGCATCCACGTTAGATTACATTGTAATGCAAATGAGAAAAACTAACCGTGAAAAGGACTATTTCCCGCCTGCTGGATCCTGAATGGTCAATTCAAATTTTAGGCGCGCCAGCCGTACGGTAAGGTTCGTGTTAAGGTTATTCCCCAGTATTGCATTGTGCATCCCTACTGCGCATAATTGCACGCGTGATTAGCGCGCGCGCATTAAAAGATGGCGGCTT